GATACGCGAGAGACGAAATTGCCGATAAGGTCGGTTATTCGCGATGCGTGTACAGGAAACGTGGCCGCTGAAAGCTCGTCCATTTGCATTTCGTTGTTAACTGAGATCTCAAACGTTGTATCGTTTCTTTTTTCTCCGCTTCGCCGGATCATAGCACGTTTCGCGGCTTGTTTATTGCGATTCATACGAGAGAATGATCTGGCACGGTGGCTTGTAGTGGGTGTACACACGATCATAACTTCACGATTCACGACGCGAACTATACCTACCCGTGCATGGAACGGTACGTGTAATGAACGACGAATCGTTTGTATAACCAGCCGTTGAATATCTGTTAGCTACGACATAAAACGTCCCACGGCCGTGTAGCGGACGTTTTGCTGGGATTCAGACAAAGTGGAGCCCCATTGAATTTTTAACGCGGTGGACGTGCGGGTCAACGGTGACTGTAACCACATATCTCACTGTGCATTGATGGGACCGACAGCAAATTACTCTGTGAGAAAATTTTCGCTGCAAATGTGGAACAACGCGTTTTCTCGCGATATAGCGTTCCTTTGTATGTGCTAGACAGTCTTTGGGAATTATGCAATTTTTATATTTTTTAATTTTGAGATTCAGCATATGTTGTAACGTTACATGTGTATGTAATATGTGCTCATATGTGTGTGATGTGTGTATGTGTATATTACACGTGTATGTAATATGTGAGTACATATGTGAATACATGTGTGTATACATTACATGTGTATGTAACATGTGTGCACATATGTGAATACATGTGTGTAATGTGTGTGTATGTAATATGTAAGTACATATGTGTTCATATGTTTGTAATGTGTGTATACATTACATGTGTATGTAACATGTATGCACATATGTGAGTACATGTGTGTAATGTGTATGTATGTAATATGTATGTACATATGTGAGCATATGTTTGTAATGTGTGTATACATTACATGTGTATGTAACATGTGTGCACATATGTGAGTACATGTATGTAATGTGTGTGTATATAACATGTATGTACATATGTGAGCATATGTGTACAATGTGTTTGTATGTAATATGTGTGTATATCTGTGAATATATGTGTGTAATATACAGTATATATAATATGTATCTACATATGTGTGTAATGTATGTATATATTACACATGTGTAACAAAACAGTAGTAACATATATGTAAAATATAAAATATTAACACATGAACTGAAACAATAAAATAAAATATAACAATGTATAAAATAAGCTGTTACGTCTTTAATTTAATATACAGCAAATTCAAACGTACAGCATACATCACAGCACTTTTTAATTGTAAACCATAGAGTAATTACCACATAACAGCGTACTGTGAGTCCGCCTGAATTCACACAGTCTAAAATAATTGAACGCGAACTACTGCAAAGTAATTTTCTCAATTAGCGTCAGATTTGTTCCGAATAATTACACGGGTAACGCGATAAACTAGTCCAATGTGTTACGAACAATTTATGAAGACGTATGTTACACGAGCGCAATAAAAATAAAGATAAATAATGATATCTGCTGAGTGCAATAGACAGTACGAATTCGTGATTAACATTCTTCTGGTTTAGGATGAAAATTTATGATATTACAGTATTGATTATCAGAGCGTCACTAACGTTAAAATCTCATAACGGTTATATATCCAGGTAATTATATACATATGTATATATACATATATGTATATATATATGTATACCGCAATACTTATCATCCTGCCATTCAATCAAATTCGTTTAACACCGACGTGTTATATCGTGAAATTGTATAATTTACCTTCTGCTATATTTAGCTAGTTCTTTAGAGCCGTACGTTACGATTTATGCGTAGTAGTATTTCTGGAAGGTAAACAGTTAACTTTTCATTTATAAAAATGAAATGTACGTATTTTGTAATGAGATGTGTATTCCTAAATTCTTGGCAAGTGGTATCACTGGATTTTATGGTTTCCTCTAACGCTAGTTCCAAACGTAATTAGTTTGCAATATACCTAGTTCCAAACATCCGCAAGTACCAATATCCCTAGCCCCAAATACCCTATTTTCCGATATTCTTAGTTCCAAATCTCCCTGGTGCAAAATATTCCTAGATCCAAGTGTTCCTATTTCCAAATATCCCTAGATCCAAACGTCTGTAGTTCCAAATATCCCTAGATCCAAGTGTTCCTAGTTCCAAATATCCCTAGATCCAAACGTCCCTAGTTCCAAATCTCCCTAGATCCAAGTGTTCCTAGTTCCAAATATTCCTAGATCCAAACGTCCCTAATTCCAAACCTCCCTAGTTCCAAACCTCCCTAGATTCAAGTGTTTCTAGTTCCATATATCCCTAAATCCAAGTATTCCTAGTTCCAAATATCCCTAGATCCAAACGTACCTAATTCCAAACCTCCCTAGTTCCAAATATCCCTAGATCCAAGTGTTCCTAGTTCCAAATCTCCCTAGGTTCAAGTGTTTCTAGTTCCATATATCCCTAAATCCAAGTATTCCTAGTTCCAAATATCCCTAATTCCAAATATTCCTAGTTAGAAATATCCCTAGCTCCGAATATTCCTAGTTAGAAATATCCCTAGTTAGAAATAACCCTATTTAGAAATATCCCCAGTTCCAAATATTCCTAGTTAGAAATATCCCTAGTTAGAAGCATCCCTATTTAGAAATATCCCTAGTTCCAAATATTCCTAGTTAGAAATATCCCTATTTAGAAATACCCCTAGTTCCAAATATTCCTAGTTAAAAATATCCCTAGTTAGAAATATCTCTAGTCACAAATAAATACATCCCTAAATATCCCTAATTCCAAATTCTCCATATCCCTAGATTGCAACCCCAGTTCCCAATATCCCCAGATTCAAACCTCACAATATCTTATATCCCTAGACCGCAATTATCAGAAAAATTAGCAATCATAAATGAAGAAGATACGACTATATTTCTGACAACAGTAAAATCGATGAAGAAGGAGGTAAATGTTTCGTTTAACGATCGGACAAGCTTTAGCACATTTTAAGTTGTAATAAATCGAGATAATGGCACGACCGGGGTCACGATAAATTAACCCGAGGACTAAAATAACCCGAACGGAAGGTCCACTTTGTAAATGATTGATGCGGCCAACGATTTAACCGAAGAAACGCGAAAAAAGTTTTAGTAATGGCTCGCGAAAGTTCACCGTACCTAGCAGCCTGTTCGCCGGCTTTTGTAATTTCCTAGACGACAAGTTAATGAAATCACCGGGCACAGACGCGAATCGTAAAGGTCTTGCTAAACTAGTAATAAATTCCGGACACAATGGCCCGGACACCGTTAACTCTTTGATTTACGCGCGTAACTCCGAGATGCTCGGTTGAACGATATTCATAGGAGGTAACGCTTTACGGTATTTACAGGCAGTTCCATAAGAAACTCGGAGCCACCGGGGAATCACTGCGAGGAAACGTTATTGACGGCTGCGTTTAACGTGCTGTTTATTTGACGATTGTTTCGTTTACAGGATACATAACACTTAAATTTCTAATGGCTCTTCGATGCGAGTCATATTTTTAGTGAAATTCAAAATTTGCTAACTTTCAAATTCATTGTTGTATATATTTTCTAATTTTGAAATGTAGGCACCGGCAAATTCTGTGTTGCTGTAAGATTGTTATGTGGTATATGGCCACGCGTTATATCGCTACACATTGTGTACATTACCGGCCAACTGTTGCTACACCTTATATACGCACATTTTTTTATCGCGTATTACATTGCTACGAATGAAATTCATGTGCACTAAATTCCCACATGTGGAATTGCTACTCGTGACATTCTCACGCGTGGAATTCCTGCCATTGGAGTTGGGACGCTTGGAATTGCCATGCTTGGAATTGCTACGCGTGAAATTCTTGTGGATGGAATTGCCACGTTTGGAATTGCTACGCGTGGAATTGCCAAGTTTGAAATTCTCATACGTGGAATTGCCGCACTTGGAATTGCCGCGCTTGGAATTACTGCCCTCTCAATTGCTACGTTTGGAATTGCCGTGCGTGAAATTGCTAGGCTTGGAATTGCTACGCGTAGAATTCTCATACATGGAATTGCCGCGCTTGGAATTGCCGCGCTTGGTATTGCCGCGCTTGGAATTACTACCCTTTCAATTGCTACGCTTGGAATTGCCATGCGTGAAATTGCCACGCTTGGAATTGCCACGCTTGGAATTCTCATACGTGAAATTGTCACGCTTGGAATTGCCGCGCTTGTAATAGCTACCCTTGGAATTGCCACGCTTGGAATTGCCACGCGTGAAATTCTCATACGTGAAATTGTCACGCTTGGAATTGCCGCGCTTGTAATAGCTACCCTTGGAATTGCCATGCGTGAAGTTGCTACGCGTGGAATTCTCATACGTGAAATTGTCACGCTTGGAATTGCCACGCTTGTAATTGCTACCCTTGGAATTTCCATGCGTGAAATTGCCACCCGTGAAATTCCTGCGCGTGGAATTGCCATGAGCGGAATTACTACCCTTGAAATTCCTATGCGTGGAATTGCCATGCATAGAATTACTACCCTTGAAATTCCTATGCGTGGAATTGCCATGCATGGAATTACTGCCCTTGAAATTCTTCACGCATAGAATTGCTTTATGTGATATCATCACACGTGGAATTGTCACATACTCCTTCACTATCTCCAGAATTATTATAATATTATATAACCATGTGTGGAATTGTTACATAGTATATCACTCCACATAAAATTTCCTATACATCTCCTCACTATTTTTGCCTGAGGAAACAAAGAGTTACATGATCATAAAAAATAGTGCATATCTAAAAGTTCAAAAATTTTGCGGTAAAAAATTACTGTAAGAATTGCAGTACCGTTTGTGGAACGCACAGTAGTCCCATATGTTCTCGTGTTATGTCAGTGAGAAAGGAAGAGAGGTCATCGAGTTCAAGGTGGAAAAATGTATTCTTTCGAATGTACAGGTGGTTGGCTTGAAGAGCGTCGGTAGCAACGGCGACATTTGGCCGCTGGAGAGGCCAGAGGGAATGCCGGCCATACAATCCCTCGAAGTGATGTGCGGAAAGGATCACATGGACGTGCATCTCTCGTTTTCACAACCCTTTGAAGGGATCGTGTCGTCCAAGGGCCAACACGCCGATCCACGATGCGTCTACGTTCCACCGTCTACCGGGCAGACTTTCTTCTCCTTTCGGATAGCTTACGCGAGGTAAGAATGCTTGTCAATGAGACCAGAGCACATTTGAACGTTTCTTGAAATTCGTATATTTTCTTTTCACACATTTTTATTCTGTAGATACGCTGTATACGTGTAGACATGTATGACTAGTAGAACAACTATGACTGTAGAATCTTATATCTTCACGTTCGTTTATTCCCTGCACCTTCATATTTTTATATCTCTGTTAGCTTGGTAGACTCCTTACATCTTTAAGTCATCGTGCTGTTTCAATATTCAACTATTTCAGCATATTACAATATTACTATTTCATTACACATATGTTCCACATATGTTACACATATGTTATACATTATGTTATCTGATTATTCCATTATGCTACTGTATTACAATAATACTAAATCATCATAATGTTTCAATATTCAATATTTCATCATATGACAATAATACTATTACATTACACATATGTTCCACATATGTCACACATATGTTATACATTATGTTATCTGATTATTCCATTATGCTACTGTATTACAATAATACTAAATTATCGTAGTGTTTCAATATTCAATATTTCATCATATGCCAATAATACTATTACATTATGCATATATTCCACACATGTCACACATATGTCATACATGTGTTATACTACAAATTACTAAATGTTTTACTATGTTGTTTATCTGTATCATTTTTGGACTTAAATTTTAATTCCTTTTCATATTATCAAACGTATTCTTGCTACATTAAACGCATCCATCAGCAAATTCGCCCGCCATAATTCCCCTAGATTTGCGGTCACATTACAATCCTAATTAACGACATCAATGTACATATTTCAATTACACACCTGCCATTGCAGAATCATAAAGCGACGCATTTATCATAAAAGATCACCGTTCGTAACAATATCTCTTAACATTTGAACATTTCAACGTAGGATGCGCACACACAGAAATAAAATTAATTAGGGTTCAAATAATTGGCCGTTAAATAACTCCTCGTTAAGCCCGGTTGATTATCCAATTACCCGTTTACCCCGGTCGAGAAACGATAAGTTCCATTCGAAGTCATAACTTAGCAATTCTCCGCGCGATAAATTGCCGAGCGCGATCGATCGTGGGCATTAACGTTTCCACACGCTTTAAATCGTCCGATCGAGCACGGGAGAGGTTGCCCATAAAGATCGTTACACGGATAGACACGATCCAACGAATCGCATATACTGTGCGCTTGCCTGATGAGCTCTAGATATTTACACAGTCGAATTTACCCATTTTGTACGAAAATTAGCTTTAATCCATCACCCTAGCGTAAACTAAAAAAACAGGTAACATATTAACAACACATATGTGTAAAGCACATACGTGTAGAACACATATGTTCGTGCATATGTAGGACACCCTAGCATAAGCTAAAAAATAAGTAACATATTAACAACATACATGTGTAAAACACATATATGTAGAACACATATGTTCGTGCATATGTAGGACACACTAGCATAAACTAAAAAATAAGTAACATATTAACAGCACATATTTGTAGAACACATATGTGTAAAACACATGTGTAGAACACATATGTTCGTGCATATGTAGGACACCCTAGCATAAACTAAAAAATAAGTAACATATTAACAACACACATATGTAAAACACATATATGTAGAACACGTATGTTCGTGCATATATAGGACACCCTAGCATAAACTGAAAAATAAGTAACATATTAACAGCACATATGTGTAATACACATATTTGTAGAACACATATGTGTAAAACACATGTGTAGAACACATATATTCGTGCATATGTACGACACCCTAGCATAAACTAAAAAATAAGTAACACATTAACAACACATATGTGTTTTACACACATGTACAGAACACATATGTTCATGCATATGTAGGACACACATGTCCCAACTCATTAAGGCAAAATCGAATAAAATGCAAACATCAATTAATTAGAAAAACGTCATTTGAAATTTGGTGAAAATTTAAAAAATTATTAAGGTACTGTCGAACAAAATATAAAAAAAAATCACATATGACGTCGTCCAAAAATTATAGCAAAATACATGAACTTAAAAATGTTCAAATTAAATGTAGTTGAACTATCCAGCTGGTAATGAAGGTCCACATTTAGTTAAAAATAAATAACTATGACCTCTATAAATGTCTACAATGTGTCTGTATACATATCTACATGTATACATAGTGATATGAAGACATAAAAACGTAGGATGTAAAAACACAGTAATATAAAAATTTCAAATATATGATCCACATACATACTTTGGTAGCATCTCCAAATCTCAGAATCAGAAATGACCCATCCATGTTGATCCACGTACAGAAAATACACATTCGACAACCGCACTCGAGAGCACCCCTCAAAGGGTAGAAAGACGGTCCAATCGATGAAGTTGTTAATGAACTTGTAAACTAATACGAGGACCCCGGTTTTGTTCGTTTGATCGCAGATGCGGCACCAAGCCAGACATGCATGGACAATTCTACGAGAATACCGTTGTCGTCCAGTACGACAAGGATTTACTGGAGGTCTGGGACGAGGCCAAACGATTACGATGCGAATGGTTCAACGATTACGAAAAGACCGCCTCGAAACCGCCAATGGTGATCGCGGATCTGGACGTTATACAGTTAGACTTCCGAGGTATAGTAAACGTAACTTGACTAAATAAATTATACAATCCTTTCGCGGAAACGCGACGACACCGATAAATAGGATAGATATCGGCTTACTTGAAATTCAATTTACGAAGGGATGTCAGTCACATTTTAACGGGCAGCGTTCTCGTGTGTGCAAAGAGTTTAATACGAGGTAAATGATCGCACGGTAACTCGTGTTGCCGCGGTTGACCACAGGTGGAACCGCAGCCGCACCACTTAATTTCACTTTATGCAACAAGTATAAATCGCACCTGACTAGAGCTCCAACGTTCCGTCGGTTTCAGGCGACAACGTGGACTGTTGGATGGAAATACAGCATGGCAAGGGACCTTGGGCACCCCCGGTTTCCGGTATAGTGCCCCTTGGATCCACGCTCACCCTGGTCGTCGCCATAAACGACTATCGAGGTAAAACACCCTGTTCACGCTTGTCGAAGTCGGGAGACAGTTGGAAATTGGGTTGGGTGGAAATTGGGTTGGGTGGAAATTCGGTTGAGTAGAAATTGGGTTGAGTGGAAATTGGGTTGGGTGGAAATTGGATTGGGTGGAAATTAAGTTGGGTGGAAATTGGGTTGGGTGGAAATTGGGTTGGGTAGAAATTGGGTTGAGTGGAAATTGGGTTGGGTGGAAATTGGATTGGGTGGAAATTAAGTTGGGTGGAAATTGGGTTGGGTGGAAATTGGGTTGGATGGAAATTGGGTTGGATGGAAATTAGGTTGGATGGAAATTGGGTTGGGTGGAAATTGGGTTGGGTGGAAATAGGGTTAGGTAGAAATTGGGTTGAGTGGAAATTGGGTTGGGTGGAAATTCGGTTGAGTAGAAATTGGGTTGAGTGGAAATTGGGTTGGGTGGAAATTCGGTTGAGTAGAAATTGGGTTGAGTGGAAATTGGGTTGGGTGGAAATTCGGTTGAGTAGAAATTGGGTTGAGTGGAAATTGGGTTGGGTGGAAATTCGGTTGAGTAGAAATTGGGTTGAGTGGAAATTGGGTTGGGTGGAAATTCGGTTGAGTAGAAATTGGGTTGAGTGGAAATTGGGTTGGGTGGAAATTCGGTTGAGTAGAAATTGGGTTGAGTGGAAATTGGGTTGGGTGGAAATTCGGTTGAGTAGAAATTGGGTTGAGTGGAAATTGGGTTGGGTGGAAATTCGGTTGAGTAGAAATTGGGTTGAGTGGAAATTGGGTTGGGTGGAAATTCGGTTGAGTAGAAATTGGGTTGAGTGGAAATTGGGTTGGGTGGAAATTCGGTTGAGTAGAAATTGGGTTGAGTGGAAATTGGGTTGGGTGGAAATTCGGTTGAGTAGAAATTGGGTTGAGTGGAAATTGGGTTGGGTGGAAATTCGGTTGAGTAGAAATTGGGTTGAGTGGAAATTGGGTTGGGTGGAAATTGGGTTGGGTGGAAATTGGGTTAGGTGGAAGTTGGGTTAGGTGGAAATTTAGTCATCAAATCTTAAACTCAAGATTTACGAAAGATCTGAAGAACGTCCACTTCAAACTAGTAAAGAGAATAAGGGAATTAAATGAGTATGAAACTTGTTCCTAATCGAATAACCTTCTGACACAGGAGAGTTCGACATGCGAGTAAAATCCTGCGTGGCCTCCGACGGAGGAGGACACACGATACAACTGAGCGACGAGTTCGGCTGCGTGCTCAGGCCAAAGATGATTAGCCGATTCCTGAAGGCACGGGGCTCCGACGACCGCGCAACAGTCATCACTTACGCCTTCTTCCACGCGTTCAAGTTCCCCGACGCGTTGAGCGTCCACATCAAGTGCAAGGTAATAGATGTTCATATTCCCAAGAATGTCAATATTTGACGTCGGGTGATGACGAGTTTCGATCAATGTCAAGGTCGAGATCTGTCGTCACGGGTGTCTGGATCACTGTCAGCTCAGCGGATCCGTCGGCCACTACATCCAGGAGCGAAAGGATCAGATACGACCGCAGTACCCGCAGACCACGGCGCCGCCCATCGTTCACAGCAACGACGACAACAACAGCGCGGACAAGATTAACGAAAACGTGGGAGGAGCTGAACAGGCTGACGGTTCCCTTTACGATGATATCATTCAGGATGGTGACGAGATGACCTCGATAGGGGGGCATTTTCTGGGGGTCGAGAAGTCAGTGCCGAAGGCTCAGGCGCAGACTAGTAACCGGCTACCAGCGCCGGTTGTCGAGACACCGAGTGAAGAGGCGCATCAGGAGGATGGAGATCTTAGCAGACCATTTTTAGTAAATATATTTTGGATACTAACTTTCTTTTGGCTTGATAAGTCTTTCGGGTACTAACACTTTGACAATTTTGTGGGACTCGATATAGTTTGCTTGGGATTGGAGAATGGAACGAATATGGTGGATGAGGGAAGCTTTTGATGTTATATTGAAAATTTATTAGTGTTAAGGTGATAATACATAAGGTTTGTCGTTGTTAAATTAATGATTCAAATAGGGAGAATATTTGTGGGGAATAGTTGAGATGTTAAGTAATGAAGACATTCTTTATTACTTCTTTTATTATTGTAAGTGGAATACTGTTTGTACAGTGACGAGTCCGCCATTTTGATTAGTTCACGCGCTGACCGCTAGAGACGCTTATTTTTATACCCTACTTTTATTTTACTAAACAGAAGATTAACTAAGAAACCTACATTTAAAAACTTCATTTTACTTTACAAAATTATTTATTTCTAAATTGTTACTACTGGTAAAATTACAAGAAGATAAATATCAAAGTCACTAGTACACAAAATCGATTGTGAAAGTGTTAATACATTAACTACTTAAATCCCTCAAATTCTTAATTCACTTAAAGCTTTCACTTTAACAGTCCTATTAAAGTCCAGTTATCAACACAACCACAATGTTAACAGAATATAATTTAAACAAAAATAATTGTTCTTTAAATTATCTGGTAATCACAAATGATCTCTAAAAATATCAAATAAAAAGTTCTTTAAATTAAAATCGATAAAATTTGTCAAGGTACGGACTGTAAGTTGCATTAAGAGTGTAATTCGATATTACAAGACAAGAAGTTAAATTAAGGTCGTAATGCCGGTCACTTACGATCATCAGGACAGTTAATTGAAGATCCAGGTTCATATCTCGATCCATTAACTGTTAAAGTACTGGGGGGCGGATATATGCGTCGAGCAAAAACAACCGCTGTGGCCTAAATACACCTTCGTACGTTCTGAATGATACGTTTGATGCGGTCTAATGTTATATAGACGCATTTCATAATGCTTAGGTACCTAACTACCGCTTCGATTATGAGTTTAAAAAATTTACCTTCACTTCTGAGTGTGGGGTGATTTTTAGCGGGTGTTTAGTAAATTGGGACTTGGGAAATTGGGAAATTGGGACTAAGTGGGACTTGATTTTGGGACTGAACGTTCGGATTTTTGAGGTTTAGGGATTTTGGAAGTTTGACACTTTGGGGTTTAGGTAGTTTGGAATTTTGGGACTGTTTTACTTTGCAATTTTGGGACTTTTTTACTTTCGAATTATGGGACTTTAAAACCTTGGGACTTTCACACTTTGGAATTTAAGGACTTTGAAACCTTAGGACTGTTCAAGCTTTGGGACTTCTTGACTTTGGAATTTTGGGCCCTTGAGAATTTAGTACTTTTACACTATACAATTTTGGGACCTTGACATTTTAGGACTTTTGGAGTTTGAAATTTTGGGTCCTTCAAACTTGAAGACTTTAGGACTTTGAAATTTTGGGACCTTGAGTCTTTAGGACTTCTACATTGTATAATTTTGGAGTTTGTTAATTTTACAACTTTGGGACTTAGGGACTACCAAATTGCACAATTTGGGACCTCAGAATTTATAAACATTTTGAAGACTAAAGCACTGCAAGTTTAAAATTCCAAAGCTTCAAGACCTTACTCCTTAAAAATTTTAATTTTAAAGTGGTTTTAATTGCATGTCAGACTGGGCCCACCAGAGCCCCAATAGCAGGGAATTATCAAGCTATCTCCTCCTAAAAAACACCTGTAAACCTAAAATCCTTCTTTCAGGAGCCTCCAAGAGTAACGCGATACGAGGGTGAGCCAGACCAGTTCCCGCACGGTCCCCGCAACCTGGAGGGCGACAGTGCAATCCCTGTAACGCCTCTATCATCAGCGAACGGCCGACGAAAGCGTTCGGTGGTGGTGTCCGACCGAAAGACCCGCAGCGCCGACGTCGGTGTGAGCGGCCTATACGAGGTGATCTCCGAGGCTGATTTGGCCTTCAGCCCGGACACTCACGCGGAGGCGGTGACCGTCTTCCAAGGTAGAATCCGCGAGGAAGTGGTTTATGGTATCTGCCTGCCGATGCCCGGTTTCAGCGCGTTGTTCATCGTGGTGGCGCTCTCCGCGGTCGTTTCCGCTCTCGTAGCCGGCGCGATGCTGCACCGGCTGCAGGCGCAGCGCGAGGCTGCCGACAGCAGAAAGAACAATAGAGCAGTGCACTCGACCAACGGTTGGCTACCTTACGGGTTGCTGCGCGTACGTTGCACGGCGAGACCAGCTCATCCGGAACAAATTCAACAAAAACAAACGAATCCAGTCGCCACGAGCCCCGCGGTCGAGAGAGGTTGACGATTCGTGGACTTTTACGCTACGACTGTGTGTGTGACGCTCCACGAAAGACAATGTGCAATAATACGCTGTACAAAGTATTTTAAGTGCGTTCTATCACGCGCGACAATATTTCGTTGATCACCATTAAGTCGCTTGATTACGTCGGGACGGATGGGAGGTTGACCTAACTGGAACGTGAACTGTTTTTGGAATGTACGCCTGATGAGAAGTCTGATGGAGGGGCACAGTCGCAGGGATTTAACTGTAACTTTGGTCGAGCTAACGAGACTGAAATTGGGGAGCTTGCAATTGTGCTCGAGGGACTTCTTGTGAGGCGTGCGGTTGGATTGAAAGGGAGGGATGTGTATCTATTTTTAGTGGGCTTATGGGGAATCTAGGGTAGAGTCTTGATAATTGAGAATGGAAGTTAATATGTATGCAATCGTTGAGATTTGTGTAGTTAACGAAATCAGTTACTTTATATTAAATATATAATTATGTAGGAACCGCATAGTATTTAAGAAGAATATAAGAAAAGTATTTATTTTAAAAATATGTCTATTGGTTAACAGAGTTGTCTGCATGTATCAGTAAGGTTAAGGGTTGGCACTGTAAAAATTTAATATTTCTATGTGTGGGTTTGTCAGTTTGGAAATTTGATAGCTGAAAAATTTTATTGTTCAATATTTCTAAACATTTAAATTTGCAGTTGTTCAGTTTTGCAAGTTTGGAAATTAAGAATTAAGAAGAATTGATGAATTGATGAATTGATGAATTGATTAATTGATGATTTGATGAATTGATGAATTGATGAATTGATGAATTGATGAATTGATCAATTGACGAATTGATGAATTGATGAAATGATGAAATGATGAATTGATGAATTGATGAACCAATGAACTGATGAATTGATGAATTGATGAATTGACGAATTGATGAATTGATGAATTGATGAAATGATGAAATGATGAATTGATGAATTGATGAACCAATGAACTGATGAATTGATGAATTGATGAATTGACGAATTGATGAATTGATGAATTGACGAATTGATGAATTGATGAATTGATGAATTAATGAACTGATGAACTGATGAATTGATGAATTGATGACTTGATAAATTGATGAATTGATGGATTGATGAATTGATGAATTTATAAACTATTAAATTAAAGAATTGATAAATTAATAAACCATTAAGTTGATGAATTGATACATTGATAAGTTATGGAATGAAATAAATAAATAATTGACAAATTGATAAATTAATAAACTGAGGGATTGGAAAATTGAAAAATTGAAAATTGAGTAGTTAAATAATTAAAAAGTTTAAGAATTGAAAAATGGAAAAATTGAAGATAGAGTAATTGAATAATTGAAAAATTGTAAAGTTAAAGGTTGAGTAATTGAATGATTGAAAAATTGAAGATAGAGTAATTGAATAATTGAATAATTGGATAATTGAATAATTGAAAAATTGTAAAGTTAAAGATTAAGTAACTGAATGATTGAAAAATTGAAAAATTCAAAAGTTGAGGATTGAGTAATTGAATAATTGAACACTTGAGTAATGAAATAATTGAAGAGTTGAAAAATAATTGAGCAATAGAGTAACTGAGTAATCGAATAATTGCATACTTACAAAACTCAAAACTTAAAAATCGAAAATGTCTGAAATTTGCAACCTAAAAGGTTCCACTTCAACGTTCATCTCTTTCTTCCTCGCTTCACTTACAGTTCACGCTCCAGATAGATTATAGCTCAATGGTCAGAAACCATTGAGTTATGCCATGCTTGAAAAGAAGGGGAAGGGCGATAGGTATAAAAGTGCATTTATGTAGTCTAATCAAGTTCACAGTTAACGTCATAAAAAGCAAAATAACACAACACATCAAATATTTATTTTAGTATAAAAACGTGCTACTAGTATCTATTTTATAAAATTGAGATATTAGCAGAGGTTTTGAGTAATCGCAAATTTTAATTTGCGAATCTTTTGTCAAAAATTTGTGACTTAAATCGTTCCCCTCTGCATCCGTCACTGCCTAGGCTCAATATTGAAGTGTCTCCCTCTGCGAGACGAATCTCTCGATTTAAGGCGGTCTTCATTCAATGAATTTCGTAAACGAAAACATTGTAATTATTATTCGTTTTCTTTTTTATATCTGAGAGGCAATTGTTGGTATTGGGTAAGTAAGGAGCATAATAACGATAATCGTTGTAGGATAAATTCGGAAATAACGGTGTTCAAGCACTGTGGATATTGTAAAAATATCGTTTATACTGTTTAAGAACCCTGTTCGATATTAGATCGAGTCAATAAGGGGAGACGGAGGCGCTGGATACGTGTCTTTTTCCTTAGACAATTCGAAAAGGAACGTATTGATAAGTTTTTACGAGTCTGTAGAATACTTTCGCGGTTCTCCACGTTTGTTATTTAATATCGAATTAACTAGAGGTGCTGCTGGTTGTAGTAAAAAGAGCTATAATATCGATATTACTAATTAATGTATCCCAAGTTTCATCGAAATCGGGACTCATCGAATAAATATTTTAAAAGGAAATAATCATTTTATTATAATTGAAGTATTGAAAATTTTGAGTCTATTAAAACGTTTCATTCTTGCTCAAAATGTATATTAAGTTTTCTATTTTCATAGTTTATAAATCCTGTATAATTAATGTGTATAAAGCAGAGTTGGGCATTATTCAACCTTTCTCAAATTTTATACAATCTTATGTATAAACCTTAAACATTCCACTCTCTTCAATTTATGTCTACATAAATTCAAATTGTCAAATTATTGGAATAATGCCGAACTGTGGTGTAACTTAGAATAAGAGCGTTCGTCAATATTTGACGAATCTTTGAGCGCGACTCCACTGGCCGCCATTTTGAATCGCGGAGTGCAACAAGTCGTGGAAGCGATAATAATCCATTATACCATAAAACCGCTGTATTAATTCGCTATAAAGCAGTCCTGGCGTGAAACGTAATTCCGCGTTTTATCGCGCAATTTAAAAAGCACTCCGACCCTTTTAAGCACTGCAAATTTATTTATACGGCGACGTAAGTGTCGAACGACCATTTTGTTATGAATCGACAGCGCGCCAAAATACACTTGTCGCGTTTCATTATAGAAATTCGATATCGAGGTATCGCTGACACCAAATGAAAACATTTGCATTTACAGCGTCTCTATAGATAGCCTTAGAGAGACTACAGCTTATACGAGGACAAGACAAGCTCAAATTTCTATCGTTTTTTAAATATGTATGTTAGGTTAGATCAACGAGGATTTGCATTTAACCTCCCGATAGCTAACACTGTCGATAGTTATACGTTATTATAAATAAAGAGTAATCGATTATTTTATTTAAAAACCAAAATAATGTTCGCCTTGAAGGTTATGTATCATACCCATTGTTTTTATTTCTCTGTAGGTTAGAGGTAACGATCGATCTGGGCTTTTTCGAATCTAGGATATTTAAGAATTTTTAGAATGTAACGCACGTTTAAACGTCCAGGAAGACGTTTAATACTATGGACGGGATTCTGTAGTCGCCGATCCTAAAACACCACGTATACGTAATTATAAATAATAAAGGAGCGTATATTTGAGAAATATTTATGTTAAATGCGAGAAGCAATCATGTGAGGCTTCCTTGTTACTTCTTCATTTTTATACATGTCTTTGTAATTAAAGATGCGGTTTGGAGGCAAACGTGAACGATAATTGTAACGCGTTTACAAATATACGGGGTGTCTCGTAACTAGTGTTACTCCCTGAAAAGGTAGAGGACGTAATTCTGAATAAGATTTCCCTTTGCAAAAATGGGCTCCGAAGCTTGGTTTCTGAATTATTAAGGAAAACCACGGACACGTAGAAATGGGGGAGTAGAGAATATAACGCGTGGAATTACGACGCGTGGAAATAGGGGGCGTAGGGAATATAACGCGTGGAATTACGCCGCGTGGAGATTCAACGCGTGGAAATACGGGGCGTAGGGGATATGACGCGTGGAAATACGAAGCGTAGAGAATACAAAGAGTGAAATTACAACGCGTGGAAATAGGAAGAGTAGAAAATATAACGCGTGGAATTACAACGCGTGGAAATAGAGGGCGTAGGGAATATAATGCGTGGAATTACGCCGCGTGGAGATTCAACGCGTGGAAATACGGGGCG